TCTAGTATAGTGAAAATAGAAATGTCCTATTCAATGAGTCAGTGTCTAGTATAGTGAACATTAAAAATGTCTTATCCATTGAATCAATGTCTAGTATAGTGAAAATAGAAATGTCTTATCCAATGAGTTAATGTCAGTGGTAAACATTAAAAATGTCACATTCAAAGATATCAATATTACATCTTGTGCTTGGTCTATAGATGTTTGTGTACAATAATAGTATTCTACAAATCTACTTCATTCAATAGAAACACAGGAAGAAGTTGTATTTTATGATGCGTATGAAGATCCAGACGAAATTGATGATTCAGATGAGGAAGACGATAAAAAACAAACAAACCAGGATCCAAGAATGAGGCAGTTGAAAGCAAAAATGAATAGGATTAACCGAAAAAGAGCTCTTATCAGAAATCAAAAAGTAATGGTTTTTTCTTTGGGTGTCATTAAATATAATATTGAAATATATTGTTTACACAAATTGTGAACACTGTGAACACACTGCACTGCACCTACCATTGCAGTAATAAAAGATCTGACTGACCTTTCAAAATTATCAATACATATAAATAAGCTAATTTGCATTATGTTTACTGCACACCATATATAAAATATTAAAATTCAGCATTTGTCCATATTAAAACTCACTAATTGTTCACGTTAAAACTCATCAAATATTCATATTAAAACTTACCAAATGTTTATACATGTATTAAAATTTCACCAAATGTTCATTTTAAAACTCACCAAATAAAAAACTAATGTTAGAACTAAAAAAAAACTAAAATATTAAACATTTTTTTGATGTTTGAAGGGTACACTTCTCCGCAAGGAACAAGATAAAGAAGTTAAGAAGAGAAACAAGCAACAAACATACCAAGAGCATCATGCTATACAGTTGGTAAGTAACAACAAGAAATATTTAAAGGTTAATAAAGATAGTAGTTTATTGATGTTTTATTTACTTACAATCTGGGATGTAATTTGATAACAATCTTGGATGTCATCTACCGGTACTTACAATCTGGGATGTAATCTACTTACAATCTGGGATGTAATCTACTTACAATCTGGGATGTAATTTACTTACAATCTGGGATGTAATCTACTTACAATCTGGGATGTAATCTATTTACAATCTGGGATGTAATCTACTTACAATCTGGGATGTAATCTACTTACAATCTGGGATGTAATTTACTTACAATCTGGATGTAATCTACTTACAATCTGGGATGTAATTTACTTACAATCTGGGATGTAATCTATTTACAATCTGGGATGTAATCTACTTACAATCTGGGATGTAATCTACTTACAATCTAAGATGTAATCTATTTACAATCTGGGATGTAATCTACTTACAATCTGGGATGTAATCTACTTACAATCTAAGATGTAATTTACTTACAATCTGGATGTAATCTACTTACAATCTGGGATGTAATTTACTTACAATCTGGATGTAATTTACTTACAATCAGGGATGTCATTTACTTACAATCTTGAATGTAATTTGCTTACAATCTGGATGTAATTTACTTACAATCTGGGATGTAATTTACTTACAATCTGGGATGTAATTTACTTACAATCTGGGATGTAATTTACTTACAATCTGGGATGTAATTTACTTACAATCAGGGATGTAATTTACTTACAATCTGGATGTAATTTACTTACAATCTGGATGTAATTAACTTACAATCTTGAATGTAATTTACTTACAATCTGGGATGTAATCTACTAACAATCTGGGATGTTATGATTACAGGTTTTGGTAAAAGTGCTAACAACAGTATTCATTGTACTCATTGTACTTCTTTAGAAAATTAATAAAAAGAAGGAAGAAGAGGAGCAGAAAAAAGAAATTCTCAGACAAAATAGAGAGAAAACATTGGAAAGATTACGTGCATACAACTATAAAATGGTATGATTTCTCTTTCCATTTATCATAAAAAAATGTCAGTGCTGTTTATGATAATTATTTAGTTCAGCTTTATCTGAATCTAATACATTACTTTGTTCTGAATGAACACAATGCAGTGCTGAATGAACACAATGCAGTGCTGAATGAACGCAATGTAGTACTGAGTGAACGCGATGCAGTACTGAGTGAACATGATGCATTACTGAGTGAACGCAATGCAGTACTGAGTGAACGTGATGCAGTACTGAGTGAACGTGATGCAGTACTGAGTGAACGCGATGTAGTACTGAGTGAACGTGATGCAGTACTGAGTGAACGCGATGTAGTACTGAGTGAATGCGATGCAGTACTGAGTGAATGCGATGCAGTACTGAGTGAACGCAATGTAGTACTGAGTGAACGCGATGTAGTACTGAGTGAACGCAATGTAGTACTGAGTGAACGCAATGTAGTACTGAGTGAATGTGATGCAGTACTGAGTGAACGCGATGCATTACTGAGTGAACGCGATGCATTACTGAGTGAACGCGATGTAGTACTGAGTGAACGCAATGTAGTACTGAGTGAATGCGATGCAGTACTGAGTGAACGCAATGTAGTACTGAGTGAATGCGATGCAGTACTGAGTGAACGCGATGCATTACTGAGTGAACGCGATGCAGTACTGAGTGAACGCGATGCAGTACTGAGTGAACATGATGCAGTACTGAGTGAACGCGATGCAGTACTGAGTGAACACGATGCAGTACTGAGTGAACACGATGCAGTACTGAGTGAACACGATGCAGTACTGAGTGAACATGATGCAGTACTGAGTGAACGCGATGCAGTACTGAGTGAACGCGATGCAGTACTGAGTGAACGTGATGCAGTACTGAGTGAACGTGATGCAGTACTGAGTGAACGCGATGCATTACTAAGTGAACGCGATGCATTACTGAGTGAACGCGATGCATTACTGAGTGAACGCGATGCATTACTGAGTGAACACGATGCAGTACTGAGTGAACACGATGCAGTACTGAGTGAACACGATGCAGTACTGAGTGAACACGATGCAGTACTGAGTGAACGCGATGCAGTACTGAGTGAACGCGATGCAGTACTGAGTGAATGCGATGCAGTACTGAGTGAATGTGATGCAGTACTGAGTGAATGCGATGCAGTACTGAGTGAATGCGATGCAGTACTGAGTGAATGCGATGCAGTACTTAGTGAATGCGATGCAGTACTTAGTGAATGCGATGCAGTACTGAGTGAACGCGATGCAGTACTGAGTGAACGCGATGCAGTACTGAGTGAACGCGATGCAGTACTGAGTGAACGCGATGCAGTACTGAGTGAACGCGATGCAGTACTGAGTGAACGCGATGCAGTACTGAGTGAACACAATGCAGTACTGAGTGAACGCGATGCAGTACTGAGTGAACGCGATGCAGTACCGGTACA